AGTATGCATAACTTTAGAAGACCTCTAGATGTTTTATATGATCATCATGTTCTCCATTCCATTGTTCATTTACTACCTCATGTTTTTGGATGTGTTATATATGTTCACTTTCACCCACATCAACGTACAAAACTTGAAAACCGAGCTCTTAAATGTGTCTTTGTTGGGTATGGATCAACTCAAAAAGGTTATCGTGCTTATCATCCATCATCTAAAAAAATTTATATTTTAATGGATGTAACTTTTCATGAAGATAACTTTTTCTATGTTGATTCTACACTTCAAGGGGGGAATGAAAGTGAAGTGCAACACCATGATGTTAGCATGTTTGACTTATTTTGTGAATAAATTATCTTGTGAGGATCATTCTGCAGGTAATGAATCAATCTCAAATATGGACACATCACCTTTAGATAATACAGTTTCCCATGACGATAATCAACTAGCTCAATCTTCTCCACAAGATCAAGTTAACTCTCCAGAGGTATTTCCTAATTCTATTCCCGATAATACAATTATCAATGGAGTTGGTACTAATGTTCAATCTGAAGTTGATTCCTTTTCTCATGAAATTGATCATGTAATTGACCCTAGTTTCCATGAGACCACCAACACACCTAACACTGAATCCATTATTGTCCAATATAATCTTCCACCTCGTTCTAACCATGGTCAACCTCCCATTAGATATGAACCAGACCTTCAGTCCAAAGTTAAATATCCCATTAGTAATTATGTGTCATCTCACAAGTTATCTAAGTCATATGCATCATTTGTATCTCAATTATCCTTAATTTCTATTCCTAGTAATGTGCATGAAGCTTTAGCAGATCCTAGATGGACTGAAGCAATGGTTGTGGAAATGGTAGCTTTAGAAAAAAACAACACTTGGGATCTTGTGATGTTACCAAAAGGGAAGAAAACTGTGGGGTGTAGATGGATTTATATAATTAAACACAAAGCTGATGGAACTATTGAGAGGTATAAAGCACGACTAGTGGCTAAAGGTTACACTCAATCTTACGGTGTAGATTATCAAGAGACATTTGCGCCGGTAGCCAAGCTCAACACTGTGAGAATACTTTTGTCACTAGCAGCAAACCAAGATTGACCTCTTCTACAATTTGATGTGAAAAATACTTTCCTACATGGAGAAATTTTAAAAGAAATTTATATGGATCTACCACCAGGTATGATAGATTCAAATGAGATGAAGGTTTGCAAGTTAAGAAAGGCTCTATATGGATTAAAACAATCTCCAAGAGCATTGTTTGGTAGGTTTACCAATTTTATTAAGGCTTTTGGCTATAAAGCAAGTAACTCTGATCACACCTTATTTTTGAAGAAAGGAGGAGGTAAAATTACAGCTTTTATTATTTATGTAGATGATATGATTGTTACAGGGAATGACCAAGATGAGATGTCTAGTTTGCAAAAATACCTCGCTTCTGAATTTGAGATGAAGCAACTTGGAAACCTCAAATATTTCTTGGGTATTGAAGTAGCTAGATCTAAACATGGTATTTTTCTATGCCAGAGAAAGTATACTCTTGATTTACTATCTGAAACGGGATTGCTTGGGTGTAAACCTGTTGATACCCCAATTGAACAAAATCATATGCTATTTCAATGCCAAAATTCAACCAGCATAGACAAAGGAAAATACCAGAGGTTGGTGGGAAAACTAATTTACTTGTCTCATACACGACCAGATATTACATATGCAGTAAATGTCGTTAGTCAATTTATGCATGATCCACAGAAAGCTCATATGAATGCTGTTGAAAGGATCTTGAGATATTTGAAGTCCACTCCTGAAAAAGGAATTTTATTCTCAAATCATGGAAACTTGAAGGTAGAAGGGTATACCGACGCTGATTGGGCAGGTTTAAGAAATGATAGAAGGTCTACCTCTGGTTACTTTACATTTGTAGGAAGGAATCTTGTAACTTGGAGGAGTAAAAAACAACAGGTAGTAGCAAGGTCTAGTGCTGAAGCTGAGTTTAGAGGCATGACACTAGGAGTTTGTGAACTTTTATGGATACGAAATGTTCTATCAGATTTGGATTTTGAACCAAGGGAGACTATGACTTTGTATTGTGACAATACTTCAGCAATTGTCATTACGCACAATCTTGTGCAACATGATAGAACGAAGCATGTAGAAATCGATAGACATTTTATCAAAGAGAAACTTAAAGCTGGAATAATTTCTTTTCCTTTTGTAAGATCTGAATTTCAATTAGCAGATGTTCTCACTAAAGGAGTGGCAAGTAAGGTGTTTAATGAGTCTTTGTTCAAGTTGGGAATGTATGATATCCATGCACCAACTTGAGTGGGGGTGTTAAGATAAGTCAAAGATATTTTAGCTAAATTAAGTAGGAAAATATTTGTGCTGTAAGTAAGAAAATATTTGTGTTGTAAATAATTTATTTCATTCCCTTAATAGAAGAGGAATTATAGGGACTCTTTTATGTATATATAGTACCTTGATCAATGAATAAAATCATCAGAATTATTACTTTGAAATATTCTATATCTTCTGTCAATCTATATAAGAATTTAAAGAACAAAACATTGATAAGTCACAAGAAACCTTCTTCTTATGACTTAACAATGTTTTGTTCTTGTTTTGAGAATATTTGTCAACAACAACATCATACAACAACACAACAAATACATGTAACACAATAAACAAAAACAAACATTTTAGCCACAAAACACTAACAACATACAATATCATAAAATATATTAAGTTGTTTATAGAACGCACCTTATTGAAAATAATCGTGGAACTATGAGGTTCATCTAGTTTGTAAAGCTGTGAGGAAGAAGTATAAGGTGGATGAAGTTAACACAATAGCTTTATACTTCTTATATTTCTTTTCATAGCTTCTAAAACTAGATGAAGTTTATTGTTGTTGTTGTTTCTTCATTCACTTCTCTTGAGTCCTACAAACACCATGAAAAGTATCAACATGTGAAACGGAAAACTTATTTGTCATCAATACAACAGACAACAACAACATAGAACAACACACAAAAATAAAAGAATAGTAAACTATCTAGTCATGTGAAACATAACAGTAACATACACGAAAATGAGAGAATAAAGGAAAAAGAAGAATACATTTATGTAAGAAGAACAAGATTGATGGCTATAATGTAGAATATGAATGTTAATGAAGAAGGAAAAAAAAAAATAGGTTCTAGAGTTTTGTTGAGAAAGATATGATGTTACTGTGAAAGAGCAAGAGTTAATTTACTTATATATTAAAATACTCACAACGGTTAACGTTAGCAACCAGAGTGAAATATAGAAATGCATTGCAACGGGTGAACTAAAGAACCGCAGTCGCAACCCTTTATTTTATATATAAAAATAAATATAAAAGAAAAGATACGTCTTAACGTTAAATGAATAATATATGTGAGGACACTGAGGTTTGAACCCAAAAAAATCTGGAATTTATAACCACGGTTATGTCTAAAACCGTTATAAGATGCTAATAATTTTTAATAAAAATATAAAAATAAAATGTCTGCGTTTGGGTTTAGAAATGTCACTACGGTATTGGAAAAAACCGTGATAAACTGAACGTTGTTGTTTGCACGTTTTGTAGTAACACTATTTTTCACGCATAGGATATGAGAAGTTGGATGTATTTTAGATTTGAATCTCCTACGTTCCTCCACAGGGTATGATTGTATTTATATATATTGTGCGTTAAATGACAATTAATTGAAATCGGCCATGTAGCATGTGATATGTTTTGCTTCCCTTCGTGAAGGTCGTAGTTTCGATTCTTGAAACCATTTTATTATTTTCTTCATTCAAAAATGTGAATACAAGAATTGACCTCATATATTATATTGCAGCCAGCTTAGATTCAAAACTTAAACCTCTACACCAAGATACAACTTATGCAGCTTGGATGCAAGTTTCCATATCATAAAAACTTCACACCTATGCCTTCTTGACTTATATAGCACTCTTTAGATAGATTGGTGATCTTATTTGTTTTTAAGAAATTGCGTGAATCAAGACAAATTCCGTTGAAAAGACAGGAACTGATTTAAAGTGTCAATAATCAATTTTAAAGTCATCTAGAAATATTACAAAATAGAATCAAAGGAGACCTCTTCCAATAAAATATGTTGTGTTTATACATGTTTAATTTGACTGTTGGTATTTCCAGCTAACACTTTAGTTTACCCGTTTAAATCGATTGTTTTTTTGTGTTGTGTTTATACAACTTTGGTTTGATTAGTTACGTGTCTAGAATACTTATTCCAATATTATAAAGATGTCTACTTCAACTTCCACGGAAGAGCAAAAGTGAATACTTGCATACTTATGAGGAAAATTAATAAAAATAACCTGGTAATCTGCGACATTTTGAATTAAGTCATCATCAAAAAGAATAAGTAGACTAACTCGGCAGACAAAGGATTGGTTGGCAGCATTTCATGGATTGGTTTTCCCTGGAGTTGCAGTGTTTTTGGTAACATGCCGTAGGTTTCGGCCTCTAAGTACCGATGCCCCGGTCTGTCCCGTGGTGGCAGCTTCATAGTGTCAAGTGTGCAGCAAATAGTGCTTTTTGGTTTTTGGGTGTTTTTCTCTGTAATTGATGTTGCAGGGCATCAGTCTGGTATAGGTGTTTAGCAGCAATTGTTACATTGCAGTTTTGAGTAAGGCTGTTGTTTTGGCCATTTGTGTGGCATGGTTTACTGATACGTTGTATTTCAGCACTTGTTGTGCTTTTTAGTTTCAATTCATTTAGTTTTTCCAAAAAGAAAACTTGGCAGACAAAGAAAATAAAAGAAATATAGAACACAAGATTTGTGGCAAGACAGAATAAGTAGACTAACTCGGCAAACACACATGAATTGTTTCCATCTCCAAGTTTGATAAATAAAATAAAATAACCATCTTAAAAGCCAAGATTCATAAGTAAATAGAAAAGATAAATACATGCTGCGGCAACAAAGAAAGCTAACTATGTTGGAGTAGTCGACAATGAAATTAGACTGTTGGTGTGAAGCCATACATCATGATTGGCCGTGGTAATGCCCTCCATCTTTGTGAATTTTCTAGTCCCAACACTGTAACTAAAATGCATGGTGTACCTGCCTTTAGGCATGTTTTCAATTTTCCACGGCCCTATAACTATTTGAAAGATGATTTGATCGAGGATCCAGAAACGAAATGAAATAAATAAAATAGTAAACCTACGGCCACAATCAGCCACAAAATCAAAATGAAGAGGTTCGGTCTCATGATAAAGAGACCATTTTCCGGAATCAAAATCCAAAATGTAGATATGATATGCCTCAGATTTATCAACAGATTTGGGCACAACGCAAGAAAGCTGATTTCCCATCCATAGGAATGAAAGCTGATTTCCGGAATATAAGAATGCGAGAGGAGGAAGTATGAGCACAGGGGGAGAAGAAAAATTTGCAACGGCAATCTCCTTGTCAACATCCATAACAATGATTCCCTGGTGTACATTTGTCCAGTAAAGATAATTGGCTCCATCATAAATTGGTTCCCAAACATAACGCGGTCGAAGGGGAGCTTGTTTTCGATCAATGACTCTACATGAGTTATCTATTCCAATAGTTAGGGCGTAGAAAACAGAATATAAAGCACCTGAAACCTCTATGTTGTCTACGAAGAAGAGCTTGAATTTGAGAGTGTGAGGAACACACACAAGAGTAAACTGAAGGGCAAGTTGTTGTCGATCAGGAAAAATGGAAAAACGAGGAGGAGGAGGAGTATCCTGTAGGGGTAAAGGAAGAGTTCTAAGCCAAGAATTAGTGATGGGGTTGACGAGATAAAGTTGAGTTCGTGTAGGTCGGTAGGTTCGACGAAGCTGTTAAGGATAAGCACATATTATTCACATTAAAGAAGGTCAAAACAAATATCAAGACATTCAAGAAGGTCAAACCCAAGCAAACATGTGCTGACAATATAACTACTATAGCCGTGTAAACATGATGGCAATGCTTATCCATATAGCTACAATTATAGGCAATTAGTATACAGATCCTTGTACTCTTATATATATATATATATATATATATATATATATATATATATATATATATATATATATATATATATATATATATATATATATATATATATATATATATATATATATATATATATATATATATACATCATTACAAGAATATAGGTATAACAAATTCCGATACAATATTCAAGAACTTATATGGTATCAGTTTTTCTCTGGTTAATATCCCTCAGTTTGTGTTTATCATCCTGTTTCAATCCTTCTTCATCGATTCACTCACTCACTCGCATCATCATGTATGATGTTCCACCACCCACCAATGATCAATCCGCCACCACCTCCAACACCGATCCATGTGTCATCCATCATTCCGACAACCCTGCAACTGTCCTTGTTACCTCTGCTCACGGTCGACAACTATGGTTCATGGAGCCGAGCCGTAACAATGGCACTTCGTGCCAAAAATAAATTCGGGTTTGTCGATGGAACCCTAATCTGTCCAAAGAAGGCCGATGATATCTCTAAGTGGCGCCGCTGCAACGATATGGTTGCAAGCTGGATTCTCAACTCGGTTTCAACCGAGATTCGCCCTAGCATTCTCTATGCTGAAACGGCGGCACAAATCTGAACCGATCTCAAGGATTGTTTATCTCAGTCCAACGCTCCGAAAATCTATCAATTGAAACAATCTATCTCTGTCCTAAAACAAGAGGGCATGTCTGTATCTCTGTATTTTACTCAGTTGAAATCTCTCTGGGATGAACTCCATTACATCGCACCTATCAATCCGTGCATCTGCGGTAATGCCAAGAGTATTATTGATCGACAAAATCAGGACCGGGCCATGGAATTTCTTCAGGGCGTCCATGACCGATTCTCGGCCGTCCGCAGCCAAATTCTCCTCATGGATCCCTTTCCTTCAATTCAGCGTATTTATAACATCGTACGTCAGGAAGAGAAACAACAAGAGATTAATTTTCGACCCCTCCCTACTGAGGAATCAGCAGCGCTTCAAGCTTCTAAAGTGCAGTATCACACTCAAGGCAAACGGCAGCGTCCGTACTGTGAGAATTGCAATAAGCATGGTCACACTATTGCTACTTGCTATCAGATTCATGGCTTTCCAAATAAGCCACCAAAGAAATCTGAATCATTCTCATCTACTTCCGCTACTCAACTCTCAAGCGCACAATACCAAAAACTCCTATCTCTCTTAGCCAAAGAGGACACTATGGGATCATCTGTGAATTTAGCAGGTACCGCTTTTACTTGTGTTCCTTTTTCTTGGATTATTGATTCTGGCGCTTCAAATCACATATGCACATCTCTTTCTTATTTTTCTTCATATTCACCTGTTCATAAAAATATACTTGTTCAATTACCCGACGACTCTCACGCGTCCGTGAAACACATCGGCAATGTTCATTGCTCGCCGTCACTTACACTCACAAATGTTTATCACATTCCATCTTTCAAATATAATCTATTATCTCTTTCACAATTAACAAAATCAATACATTGTGATATTATTTTCTCATCCTCTGGTTGCATATTTCAGGACCGAGCAACGAAGAAGACGATTGGTCGGGGTAGTGCTCGGAATGGACTCTTCTACTTGAATGAAGAACCACCATTAAAAAAAGATGACAACGATCACTATTGTGTTGACCATCCACCAAGTTCTTTTTTTAGTTCTAAGCAATGTAATAAGGCTGACCTATGGCATTTACGCCTCGGTCACCCATATATTTCCCGTTTTCAATTTATTGTTAAGAACTCTCCAAATATTAATGTGAATAAAGATTTTATTTGTGACGTTTGTCCGCGTGCAAAACAATCACGTTTACCTTTTTCTTCAAGAACATCATATTCATCTCATTGTTTTGAGTTAATTCATGTCGATATTTGGGGTCCATTCTCTACTCCATCACACAATAGATCACGATATTTTTTAACAATTGTCGACGATTATTCACGATGTACTTGGTTATATCTCATGCAACATAAATCTGAAATATTTACTATGCTAATTCATTTTTTTAATCAAATCAATCGCCAATTCAACACTAAAATTAATAAAATTAATTCCGGCGATGGGGGCATCTTTCTTCCCCAACTTCAAGCTATTCGTTCCGACAATGGTTCGGAGTTTTTGTCCAAACAAATCCAAACATGGTTTCATGATCATGGCATTATTCATCAACGCAGTTGCGTTGCAACCCCTCAACAAAATGGCGTTGTGGAGCGCAAGCATCGTCATCTTCTCGACGTCGCAAGAGCATTACGTTTCCAAGCGAAATTACCCCTTTCCTTTTGGGGTGAATGCGTGCTCACTGCCGCTTATCTCATAAACAAACTTCCTACTCCCATCCTGAAATATAAATCTCCTCATCAAATTTTACTCGGTTCTCCTCCTTCATACTCATCACTTCGTGTGTTTGGATGTCTCTGTTTTGCCAAAAATATGAACATTCAACACAAATTCGATGAACGAGCCAAACCTGGTATTTTTGTCGGTTACCCTTTTAATCAAAAAGGATACCGCATCTACGATATGCACACTCGCAAAATATATGTCTCTCGCGATGTTCAATTTTTTGAAACCATGTTTCCATATCACGACTTTCAAACTCCTTCCATCGCTAACGACATAAGCATCAACACTCAAATCCTTGATTGTGAATTTGATGATTCCTCTTCCAACTTATCACCTGCATCAAGTATCTCTCCCGGCATTAGTCATCATGATGACACGATTGTGCCCATTTCCACCCCTCAGGATGATAACTCATCGAATATTCCATCCAATATTACATCTATTCCTGTAGAAACTCCCCAACAACATTCACCTACAGCGATCAATCCTGCAGAACGTCGTTATCCTCAACGTCTTCGTACTCCTTCCGTTCGCCTCACGGACCACGTATGTGACATTAATAATGTCACATCACAGAGTGCCTTCCCATTAAAGAATTATTTCTCTTTATCCAATTTGAGCACTTCTCATCGAGCTCTTCTTCCTAATATCATTGAAAATAAAGAACCAACATCTTATTCTCAAGCTATCAAATCAGCTGAATGGCGTGACGCTATGGCTAAAGAAATTCACGCCCTTGAATCCAACAACACTTGGGTTTTATCTCCTCTCCCGAATGGCAAAACCGTCATAGGTTGTAAGTGGGTATACAAAATTAAATATCACTCTAATGGTACCGTTGAGCGATATAAGGCTCGTTTAGTCGCCAAAGGCTACAATCAAGTACATGGTATTGACTACCATGAAACATTCGCACCGGTTGCCAAACTTGTCACAGTTCGACTCCTTCTCTCCATTGCTGCCATTAAAAACTGGCAGTTACATCAACTTGATGTTAACAATGCTTTCCTTCAAGGAGACCTTAATGAAGAAGTTTACATGAAATTACCACCCGGCTTCTCTCATGAAGGGAAACCATGTGTTTGCAAATTAAACAAATCCATTTATAGTCTCAAACAGGCATCTCGTCAATGGTTCTCAAAATTCTCCACCACCCTCATTCAAAAGGGTTTTCATCAATCCATCTCTGATTATAGTCTATTCACTTTCAAAAGTAATCACACGACTATATTTGTACTCGTTTATGTAGATGACATCATCATCACTGGAAATAACGAAGACGCTATCTCCGACATCAAAAAATTTCTCGCACAGGCCTTTTCCATCAAAGATCTTGGAAATCTTTCATACTTCTTAGGTATCGAAGTATCCCGTTCTAAAAAGGGAATATTCTTATGCCAAAGGAAATATACACTTGACATTTTATCCGACTCTGGTATGACTGGTTGCCGACCATCAGATTTTTCTATGGAGCAACACCTCCGTCTACGGCCCAATGAAGGAAGCCCTCTTCCTGATCCGACAATCTATCGTCGCCTCATTGGTCGTCTATTATATTTAACAGTGACACGGCCCGACATCCAATACACTGTTAACACTCTCAGTCAATTCATGCAATCTCCATGTACAACTCATCTCGATGCGGCCACACGAGTTCTCCGATATCTTAAAGGGAGTGTCGGCAAAGGCTTATTTCTTTCGGCTTCTAGCTCCCTCAATTTAGTTGGATATGCCGACTCTGATTGGGCTGGTTGTCCTACTACTCGTCGCTCCACTACCGGCTATTTTACCATGTTGGGCTCTAATCATATATCATGGAAAACCAAGAAGCAACCAACAATTTCTCGTTCCTCTGCTGAAGCAAAATATCGTTCCCTTGCAACTTTATCTTCCGAGTTACAATGGTTAAAATATCTTCTCTCGGATCTTATAAGTTCTTGAATATTGTATCGGAATTTGTTATATCTATATTCTTGTAATGATGTACATATATATATAAGAGTACAAGGATATGTATACTAATTGCCTATAATTGTCTAGTCTATAATTGCCTATAATAGAAATCCTATTTTAAATACAATTATGATACTATTTCCTGATATACTTTGACAGCTATATGGATATGCATTGCCATCATGTTTACACGCCTATAGTAGTTATATTGCCAGCACATGTTTGGGTTTGACCTTCTTGAATGTCTAGATATTTGCTTTGACCTTCTTTAATGTGAATAATATGTGCTTATCCTTAACACCCCTGAAGTTGGAGGTGGGATTGAAATCTCAAGAACATCCAACTTGCCGAGTAGTCGTTTATAAGTATTGCCTCCAAGAGGTTTAGTAAATATGTCAGCTAGTTGGTCAAAAGATCGGAGATAAGAAGGGCTGATAAGACCTGATTTAATTTTCTCACGAACGAAATGACAATCAATTTCAATGTGTTTTGTGCGTTCATGAAAAACTGGGTTTTCGGCGATGTGAATAGCAGCTTGACTATCACAATGAACGGTGATCGGTTGAGGATGATCAATGCCGAGATCTGTTAAGGATAATTCTTTTCATTCTTGAAGATGCTCTGAAATCGGTCCTTTCAAATTCAAACTGACCATTGACATGAGTTTTGATATCCAAGATATAAGATCTAGATCGAAAGTCGCAATTTTCAACATAAAGAGAGGGTTTGGAATGTAGTAGGCGTGCCAGAGCGAATTGGGAGGTTGGAATAGTAGCGGCCCAGGATTTGCAAACATACCTTGCAGAGTTAACGAGAGATTTGATATGAAGGAAAGTAAGTATATGAAGCATCAAGTCTTGTGGGAGCAGCACCTCCTTTGAATCATCATGATTTAATAATTTAACTCGCTACCTTCTACTTACTACTCTTCCCATTGCTACTGATACTGCTTCAATAATAAAATACAATAACAGAATTCAAATTCAAAATCACATACAATAATGCAATAATCTGAAGCTGCAAAAGCTCGGGGTTATTCGAATAAAGAGGAAACAGATTGCAACAACGATCATGAAGCGAAATGGAATGAAGAGAAAATAGAGTGAATACCTTTGTTGATTTGCAGAATTTTGTGTCTTTTTCTGCCCTAGCCCGCCCTCACTTGCATATTCGAATGATTCAAAGTGACAGATAAAATATTTAAAACAGAAAGCTTTTTTTTTGTAAATTTATATGGTTATCTTCCAATTTTAAAGGACTGTTTTGGATTGTTGGACGGAATAAAATATACCCGAGATATCGTTTTATTTGATTATTTTATTCTATAATATACATTTTAAATTGAATGAAATAAAAATTAGAAAATTATAAATTAAATATTTAATTTAATGGTGATTAACATCGAATTTGGTAAAGGGAATTTCAATTCAATTTTTCGTATGTTATTGAAAGGGGATCGGAACCAATTAGATTTAATCATGTTACATTTCATACTTATTTACAAATTCAAATTATATAATCTTAATAGTTACTCCTTCATTCCATTTCATTCTAAATCCAAAGATACTCAAAGATAAAAAATTATGTTTGTTACATCATTATGTTTATAAAAAAGGCTAATTTTATTTTAATAATAAATTAGTTAGTTAGTGTTAGTTGTGATTTATACCTAGCCAAGTTTTAGTTTTGAGTAAGAATTAGAATTAAGTGGAATTTGAACATAAGTTAGCAATTATTTGTTTATGAAGGTGTGAACTTAGACGAGAATGAGGATCATTGCATTTAAATTTGCAAGGACATGTTGCTAGGGTAAAGGAACCTTATGTTGCCTTATTTTGTTATATGCGTTTGGAATCAAATTATTAGTAATTAAATTTATTTATTTATTTTCCATGTCTTTATAGTTTATTGTTTTGTTGTATGATTCTTGCTTATTTTAATGAGATGTCTTATTTATAATATTTTTATAGACAGGAAGAGTGTTACCAGTAAATTTCGATGTTAAATATTTAAAATAAAATAAAAGTCGTTGTTGTTTTAATTGTGCAACTAAAAGAAGTTGAAATTAAATTGAAGTTGTTTTAATTGTGCAACTAAAAGAAGTTGAAATTAAATTGAAGTTGTTTTAATTATGCAACTAGAAGAAGTTGAAGTTGTAAATCTATGTGATATATAAGTAGAGTCCAAATATTTGGCGGTTCGTGACGATGACATCCAAACAAAATACAATAAGTTTTAATAGAAAATGCTAGACATTATTGAATTAAATAAGGGACTTGAAGACTTCAAGTTTATGATCTTTAAAGCTTGAAAATTTAAGTGAAATTTTATTTAATCACGCACTTAAGGTTTTTCTAGTCTTGATTTTAGTTTATCGTAAAAGAAATAAGAATAACTTTTGAGATATTAATGAAGTGCCCACACACAATATTTTTCAAAACTCTTCTCTCTTTTATCTTATCATATCTTTAGTATTAATGAATTACATTAGACAATTCTCTTTTCAGTTGACATCTTTATCAAATAGAGGACAGTTCTTTTGTTTAAAAACTCTGCACACAATTGCAAAGTCGTTTGCAGTAAAAGTTTTCCACATTCTACTGCATTCTTGAATGAAAATGAACAATTGAAAATATGAGATTTATACTGAAGAGTATTCAGCAGCCTTTTTCTCCTTCAGAGTTGAAGCCAACCAGTCCAAGCCCTCAAAAAGGCCATCTCCCTTAAGGCCACAAGTTCCTTGTATGTGCCATTTTCTATTCCTTAGTTCAAATAGACCTAGTCCTTCACATACTTCAGTCGGCGTCATCGCTCCATTCTATAAAAAACAAGAAGAAAATTTTGATATCATGGCCGTGACTTAAGCACAAAGCAAAACTACAAACAAAAATATCAGAAATAGAAAATAAAAAAAACAAAGATTTACCAGGTCCTGTTTGTTTGCAAACACCAATATGATATTGTTAAGCATCGTAGGCTCATTTATGGTTATCTGAAAGTAATCGATGAATCAATTCAGTTATCAACAACGTGCGCGCACACACATAATATAATACTATACTGAAATTTGATTTTGTAACCTGAAATTCCTGCTTTGCTTGATCGATTCTCTCACGATCCATGCTATCAACCACATAAATCTGCACAAAGACGCATAATAACGTAGGTGAAAGGAGGAATATTTCACAAAAACTGTTGGCATAGCACGAGTTTTCTTTTCAATAAGGAAAGAGACATAAAAGCAAGGAAATTGATTCTTACCAGACAATCATTGTTGTTGAAATAGTGTTTCCAAAGTGGCCTTAATTTATATAGTCCTTGGCCTCCAGCATCCCAAACTGTAAAATCAACATTCTTATACTCAACTTTCTCCACATTGAAACCTGCAAGGCAAAATAAATTTTTAACCCAAACAACATATAGAGTTAATTATGAAGATAATTATAAAACAAGACCTACCAACAGTAGGAATAGTGGTTACAACTTTTCCGATTTGAAGCTTATAGAGTATAGTTGTTTTGCCTGCGTTGTCAAGACCAACCATCACAACCTGTAATCAGAAGCAGAACAATATAGTGAATAAGAAATCAAGAAAACAAACAAATTTCATAGAAAAAGTAGTTCAGAGTTGACTGATACTCGTATTTGAGAGTTTCCAAACAAGGTGTCAAAGAGCTTCCGAAAAGCTTGACCCATGTCTGTATCTGTATGTGATAAGAATCAGAAACAAACAGAGAGGGGGTCGAAGTTTCGACTTTGAATTTCAACAAACAACAATACCCAATTTTGAACTGGTGCTGTAGCTTCTTGCTTTCTTTCATAATTCCTCCCTTCTAAGAAGGGTGATCCTAATAATATATTACAGAAATCACACGGTCCAACCATTGACTTGTTCAAAATATTACACACTTTGTTTATTTGCCTTCCAAGTCAACATGACATGTTTGGTTGATATAAAATTCCAGAATCAGTTTCAGTTCAATAGTTTTGGTTGTTGGAATCAGATTCAACCTTGTTCCTTTTTCTTAATTCCTTTTACCACATCAAAGTAACTTAATTAGCTCCATGTTTTCTCTCCAACAGGCTAGTTTCTATTTGCTAGCTTACTTTTACCACGATATCAAACTAATTCTTTTCAATAAGAGTTAAGAGGAGTACAGAGTGGAATAGCCTTCATCAATCTGTCAGAATTGCAAATCAGATTGTTACGCGCACCTGTACATTTTGTTTAGTCTTACGCAATTTGGAACATGAAGAATCAATCTAGACTCTTCACAACATTTTAAAAACTCCAAAGTAGAAGCACCATTGTGCCCATGTACAGAAGCTAACATCTGGCTAACAAAGCTAATTGTCATGGAAGCAACAAAGAAGCGAATCCAATCTCACTAATATGCAACTCAAACATGCCAGCGCTTGACACAAGTCAACAATAGCAACAAATGCAGCAAAAATTAATGAAAAAATACTAGCAGATGCAATCACAACAACATCATCTTCCAAAATTGCATAGGCAGCTATTTTTGTCTTCTTCATATGCAACAACAGCTACAACAAGGGTTAATGAAGCATATCACAGAGCTCAACTACATTCTTCAATCTTCACAGTTACAGATTAACATAAGCAAACATGAGTCACTAGGCTAAAACGAGATCCACAATCAATGAACAAAAGCAATCAGTATTAGCAATCTCCATTTGAACCTAAATGCAATGAAGGAAGGACTTGGATCTATCTTCCAATCATTGTAAGAATAGTTTTCCAACCCCAGGACTTTTCAATGACCATGATAACAAGCACTTAAGCATTCTAATCTTTGAGATGCAATCAATCGATCAAGCGGAGAATCTTCTTCTGAATCATCTACACATAACCACCAAAGACAGAATATAAAAACAATGTTGGAGAACAAAATAAGAACTTCCAACTGCAAAATCGAAGAGCAAGAATCGAAGAATAGGTATCAATTCTAGTTTAATAGGGATCAAAGAAAAAGAGAACGATGAGTAATTGAGGCTTAGAGGTGAAAAAATTGGATTTTCTTGAGAAAATGCAGCGGAAATTTTCCCTTAAGCTGGATACCAAATTTTCTCTTATAGCATGTTATGAAACATATCATCCATGGAAAAGGTAGAGAAAAAAGCTTGAAACTCTTGTGTATTAATGATAGTGAAAATATTACATATGAGAAAGTTAAGTACAATTGACTGCCCAAGCCTATGTATAGGCATTAATTAACTAGTAACAAACACCAACTAATAACTAACCCACTATATCTCCAATTCTAGATACACAAATTCCAACTTAATTTTGAATATATATCATGATATCATGATTGGAAATGTTGTGGTCTAGTAGTATCTTTACATAATCTGGGGTTTATACTAAACAATTTCCTGCATTCTACAACCTTCTTGAATGAAACTAGCTAAACTCTACACGTCCGTTCGTCAATGACACGAACCAAAATACCTGCAATATACAATAATATATACATGATGTCATTAAATAATACGCAAGAATGTAAACAACAGAAAGTATAGCTCAAACCTTGATAATTAGAAGGCCGAGGTTCCTTCAGCTTTTATCGCTTTCAGAGTTGAAGCCAACCAGTCCAAGCCCTCGTATAGGCCATCTCCCTTGAGGGCACATGTGCCCTGTATGTGCCATTTTCTATTCTTTAGATCAAAGAGACCTAGTCCTTCACATACTTCCATTGGTGTCATCGCTCCTCTCTACAAAAGATGAAAAAAATACATAAAACTGTTATGATCAGACTTGAGTACAAACCAATACTTAAATTGTTGGAGTATTTTTAATCAAGAAAATAAAAAGTCAGCTCGTATTATAGGATATTTATTATTAGTTAATGCATGCAAAAAAAAAAAACCAGCAGGATGAATGGTAACAGAAGTTCGTTTTGGCCATCACCTTGGTACAGACTAGTATGTATTATTTCATCCTATACAAGCTAATATGGCAGAATTTCCGACACTACTCTTACATATCAAGTAAACAATGTCCTTTTGTGAACCAATTATACACTTTGGCTCCTATATTATCTTAAGTCACAGAGATAACTATAATGTCAGCTCATGCAGTAGAATAGAAAGAACAGAAATGAAAAAAGTAACGATGACTTACCAGGTCCTGTTTGTTTGCAAACACCAATATGACACTATTAAGCATGAAAGGGTCATTTATGATTGCCTGCACGTAATCAATGAATCAAATTAGAGCTTGTTTAAAATAATACCCTCGGCGTCTTATGATCACATATAATATGATAGTGAAATTTGAACTACAACCTGAAACTCCAGCTTTGCTTGACCTATTCTCTCACGATCGAGGCTATCAATAACATAAATCTGCATAAATGCAAGCATATTTTTATAATATGAACCCTGCTACCTTGCCTATTGGACATATTGATGATGATGAAAGAAGGAAATTTTCACAAAACTGCCAACAAATCATAATTTTACTTTTCAATGAGCAAGGGACACAAAAGCAAGAAGGATGTTGATTCTTACCAAACCATCGGTGTTGTTAAAATAATGCCTCCAAAGTGGCCTTAATTTCTCTTGACCTCCAACATCCCAAACTGTAAAAACAACATTCTTATACTGAACTTTCTCCACATTGAAACCTGAAAGGCAAATAAATTGTATAAGCATACAAAAACAACACATAGACCCACATAAAAAAACAACATTCTTAACAAGGGGTTTAGGGTTCTAACCCTAAAAAAGTAACATAAGTATAAAAAGTATAAGCAAGATGAACAAATGAATAAATAAAATAGGAATGACACCAATAGTGGGAACAGTAGATAAAACTTCTCCAATGTGAAGTTTGTAGAGTATAGTAGTTTTGCCAGCAGCATCAAGACCAAGCATCACAACCTGTCACAAACAAGAAGATCAATCAACACAGTAAGAAATTTAACTAAGCAAGCAAAAATTTCACAGTGAAAAAGAAGAAGAAGAAGAAGATACCCGCATCTCAGAGTTGCCAAAGAAGGTATCAAAGAGCTTCCGAAAAACTTGACCCATGGAAGCGAGAGTGCAATTTTTGGGGAGAGAGAGAGAGAGAACAAGAGCTAACGGAATAGGGTAGCGTAGCCTCTTCTTCTCGCTGCTTTCTTTCTTTTTTCTATGAACTTTCTTTTTATGTTTCACCAACAGCATATTCGTTTTTTTTAGTACAGAAAAGCTTCCAAACACAGATAACTGAAATGACTATTTTAGACATGCAAATTATAAGTTAAACACAAATATTGTGAAGGAGGAGAAAACAAAAATAAAATATTGAAATTCTTTTTTTTATATCTATTTTTAATCTAATAAAGTAATACATTAACAGTATTAATTTATTATCCTGACTCAAACTATTAAACAAGTTTATTTAATGCTTCAAAAGTAATTTTGTACGTCTAATTATTATTTAAATTATTCATGTACTTTAATTAAAAATAGCATTAATTTTAGCAGTTAAAACAAAAATCTTTACTATAATTTAAATTTTAATTAATTACTATTATTATTCAGACTCTTTGCATTTTACTAAACATTGAAATCATTCTATTTAAAATTTCTTTTAATATCAAGGTTGCTGATATTATTGTTATCGCCTTACTTATTCCAAACAAATACAAATAAATGAGTAGCATGGATAATTTTTCACATTTACATGTCTAGGGATCTGAAAGGGAAGGGTTAGAGAAATTAATTCCTCTTCTTAGTACAAACACTAAAATCTTATGCCATAAATTATTGCAGTATCCTTTATTTCCCCTACTTTTAAACCCTCTATAACAATCAAAGGCAAATTGTTTGTGAAGCGCGACGACGACCCATGTTGCGTGCGTGATCGAAGGAGTTTTCTCGGCGTGGTTTCCAGTGCGACTTTTGGTATTGCTTTGAGATGCAATTCTGACGGTAATGTGTTGTTATGTGGTGTTTGTGTCCGGTGGTGGTGCGGCTTCATATCAGAGTCAAAGATACGATGACGCCGGAACAGATTCGACGACTACAATTCTGCAACTCTCCACCTCTTCTTCGCTCTTTTCCTTTCGACTTTTGTTGTACTACATTGCTGATGATTGTTGTAGTTGTTAATAGAATTTGTGATTCTAGAGTCTTTCTATGTTTGATTCACGTTTTTCATTGTGAACTTTGCACGCTAGGCGTTCGTAAAATTGTCACCTTAGAGTCCATGATTGAGCAAGGGCCTAGGCTGGTATTGCAAGTAAGTACACTTTAAATCAAATTTGAACGTCTATATTTTAAAGTATTTCTAACGTGGAATTTTGTTTACAAGATCAATTTAAATCACACTTCAATATATTCTAATTATTTTTTTGATACAAACTTTCACTTAATATATTCCAATTATATACCTACCTCAATTTGTTTGATACAAAATTTCAATTAATTTCTTGATGTTGTTTTATCAGGCGTTTTCCCCTTGAATTAAAAGTCTATTGCATAAAATCTCTTATGGTTTAAATTGTGTGACATGCCATACTGAACCTAACAGATCACATGCAAAAAAAAACATATACAATTTATAAACTCAAGGGTAGAAGTAGTTGAATTTTGTATCATGATATATTTTTGTAATTTATGTCTTAACAAAACCATCATCCCAACACTATTGTGAAGAAATCTGGTTGACAAACTCAAAAGCGTTAAGGTGGATCGATAATATTCCAGTGAAGAAGTGGACTCAGGCATTTGACAATGGTCAATGATAGGGCCACATGACAATAAATTTGGTGAAATCATTGAACTTTGTCTTCAAAGGCATTTGAAACCTACCAATTACTGCATTGGTTAGAGCAACATATTTTAGGTTGGGGTCATTGTTCGATACAAGAAGTTCGCATGCCTTACTCTCATGTCATAGTGGCATGTTCGCATGTTCGCTTGGACCCAATAGGATATATATCCCCCGTTTACACAGTCAATATCGTTTTAGATGTGTACATCAATATCTTCTTTGTGTTGGCAAAAGAAGATTATTGGTCTGCTTATCAAGGGGACATTATTTGACACAATGAACAAATGCGAATGAAGAAAAAGGGGCGCCCCAATAGCACTCGTATTAGAGCTGAAATAGATACGATCAACAAAATGATAAGATTATGCAGTACATGTCGTCTTCCCGGACACAATAGAAAAAATTGTCTGAATATTGGGTCTAGCTCTACAACCTAATTTTTTTATATCAAACTTTCTGGAGTAATTAATTTATTATAAGTAAGAAATTTCAATTTAAATTCAGGTTTTTATTTCGTGTTCAAGTTAGCATTCGATTACACAACTTTCAGATAATGGCCAAAAAAATTACAACACGACAAACTCAAAACAACTATGCAAAACACAACAACATGATAAACAGACAAAACAACTAAACACATCAAAATATCTAAGAGATAAAAACTATCAACACAATATCGTCTGGTCCAAGCATCATCATCATGACATCAGCGTCGCGTCTCACCTTTTTCCATTAACGAATTACTCATTTTTCGTTCCTCACTGTAATTTATCTTTCTATTTTTCTAATATATTCATCTTCAAGAATGTCTCCTTCCAACCAGCGAATCAAGTACCTCTGAAAATGCTCGAACGTCTGCATGTTCTAGAGTTTGATCTACATTGGAGGCTTTGCCGCTGAAAAAGTAACATGAACATCTCTTTTGATCAGTGAAAACCTTGACAATGGAGTGAAAAACGTTGACAAAGGGGTGAAAGACATTTTCTAAGAGTGATATGAGAAATGGTATGAAAATAGTGAAGATGGTGGTTGTATTTATAGAAAACAAAATACAATTGTCAAGCCATCTAATATGGCGCTCCCTCCTTAAAAATATATGCATGCGCCACACTGCATGACACTACATAGAAGGAAAAGTCATACAGTGTATCGCCTCCTCTCTAATTTACATGCATGCACCACATGGAGTGGCTTGACTTTTGTATGGTGATTTTTTATATTTAAAAATGATTATTTTAATAATTTTCTAAAAAAGGGATTATTTAAGAAAAAAATTTAAAATATAATTATTTAAAAAAAATTCTAACTATATCATAGATGAAAAGAATGTCGACATTAAATACACCACTTTAAATTTTAATATTTTAACATTAATAAATATGTAAGATTAACTCCCTTATCACCTATCACATGTATATTACTTATTATCTTTATTTTTTTTCATGTATATTACTTATCACTTATTATCTTTATTTTTTTTCATTTACTTTTATATTAAAATAATGACAAATTATTTTTATATTTGTCTATTAAACTTATAACTTGATGATATTTTGATCCTCTTATTTTGACTAATTTACGAAATTAATTATTCTTTTTTAAAATGATATTTTCAAATTTTAATGAAGTGACAATAATGATTAGGATAATTTATTATTTAATATTTTTATATAATAAATTAATATTAGTTATTTTTACTTTTTTAAAAAAATTAATTAATTAATAATTAAAATTATGAAAAGTCTATTGAACCTTCTATCCATTTTCTTTCAACACTAGCTCATTATTCAAGTTTATAAAATACATTATTATTGAGCTATATAAATACTAAACACTAAACACATTTATTAAAAACTCAATGTGAGACTTTATTCACAAGAACTTCTTCCTTTCTTTTAAAAGTATCTAGGAAATTTATCATTCTAACTAGTTAGTGGCAAGTTGGGGCTAGACTTACAGTTAAATTATGATAGGATATTTATGACGGGAAGAAAAAACATGCGTAATTTGTTTGTGTTTGAAAAGAGTCAAAATCAAATAGAGTGAATAGAAATAGAAAAATAAAAGAAAATTGCTTATCTTTTATTTTATTTTATTAAAAGTATTTATTTCATGAAACAAATTATTCTTCAAAAAAAAATAGAATAAGCAAAAGTAATGGTTACATTTTGAATTTATTGGGATGATGGGTGTAAAAAGCTATACTGGTCAGAATTTATCTATTTAGTGTTGTGTGGGCTATTATAAAACATTTTTCTTAATTTATAATACACTTTATAATTAATTAATTTATAATACTACAAGTAATGTTATAATGATCTTGGTGGGGGCATAGGCCCACTCTTTCTCTCACATAGCTTCGTCCCTGATGGTGAAGCATCTGAGATTTATCTGTAGCAATTATAATGTCTGCAAGTTGAGGATGACGGAAATTCTGCTTTTATTTCAAATGCGGAACTCGCTCTCTCAAAACTTGGTCTCTCAGGTTTCTTTCAAGCTGTTATTATTGGTGATGAATGTGAACATCCCAAACCTCATCCAGAGCCAAAATTGTGGGCAGCTCTGGAAGAACTTGACAAGTCTGGCTCTCATTTAAGTTTTGACTTAATACTCGTGCGATTGGCATAATTTCTTGATAAAAACAAGTAGCACTTTTCATATTAAATTCATCAGATCACCTCACCTGTTTAATTTAGACCTTTTTTATCTTCTTCTCTTTATGTCCTCATTTATTCTTACACAATGACCATCATATTCCTAATATCTCAACACACTTAGTTATTATATTTTTCTCATTTATTTTATTAATAAATTATATAGGATTAACATTTGATAATTTTAATTAATTCTCATTATCATTATTATTCACATCACTTTCCAATACTCTCAACCACACAAATAACACAAAATTCACAAATAAGTAATTAAATAAATTATTTTAAATTTTGGGGTATTACAACTCTTCTCCTCTTAAAGAATTTTCGTTCCCGAAGATTATCGGAGGAAAACAGAGTCGAATACGACTCTCTCATCTGATCTTCACACTCTCAAGTCAAACTTCCACCAACTGATTCACTCCATAGTACTTTCATCAAGGCAATCTTTTTACCCCACAATTGCTTCATTTCTCGACTATCTATCTGCACGGGTGATGTTACAACTGTCAGGTTATCTCTCACTTATACATCATCCATTTGAATCACATGCGAAGGATCTAGAACGTACCTCCTCAATTGAGATACATGAAACACATCATGAAGATTAGCAAGCGATAGCAACCAAGTGATTTAATAGGCCACATCATTTATCCTTTCTGAAATCTGATGGACCAACAAAATGCGATGTAAGCTTTCGCGACTTCGGAGCTCTACCAAAACCAGTTACCGGAGAAACTCTCAAAAACACATGATCTCCCACTTGGAACTCAAGTTCTTTCTTCCTCTTATCATGATAACTCTTCTGACGACTCTGTGAAGCTTTCATACTTTCTCGAATCATCTTTATCTTCTCAATCCTTTCTTACAGATCTCAAGTTCGAGCATCGCACTCTCGTCTGACTCATACCAACACAGTGGAGTCATACACCTCTCATCGTACAACACTTCATATGGTGTCATTCCAATACTAGTATGGAAACTATTATTATAAGTAAACTCAATCAAAGGCAAGTGGTTGTCACAAACACCTCCTTGTTCCAACACACAAAGCCCTCAACAAATCTTCTAACGATTAGATAGTCCTCTCCGTCTGTCTGTGGATGATATGCAGAACTCAACTTCAACTTAGTACCGAAGGTGTTCTGCAACCCTTCTGATCTGACCTATTCAGACTTGGACCGTCACGGCTGGCTCCGAGCTGAAAGTTTTGAACGAGGTGGGGGGGGGGGGGGTACCTGCAAGACACTCCGATGCTACAGTAAGTAAGAGCACGAGCAGGCAATAGTAAGTATGGGTAGAATGATGAATACCTGACCCTCTGGAAACAGAGGGTATTTATAGCCCCCAACGCTGGGCCAAGGTTCTCCCTTGGGCCGGGCAGGTTTGGCCCAATGGAGGAAATGCCAGGTTCTACGTGCGTAGTGGGGACCCGCACGTGGTCCCCTTCCTGGATGTTCTGCGTGAAGTGCGGGCGGACGAAGACGCGGTCTTTTCGGGGTCTCGTTGGGAGTGCAGTGGACTGAGTCTGCCCTAGTTGGGGTGCTCGAGGTGATGTCGAGCTGGAGATGTAGAGGTCGAGCAAGTAACCTCAGGGAGTACGTCGGGCACGACTGTGACCCTTTGGTCGGCGTGGTCCTCAGCAAGTCCATTTGGATTGGGCCTTAGCAATGCTATTGGGCCTGTCGGGTCCAGTCCAGAACAGGAGCCCCCCAAGTCGTGGTTCCTTTGTTAGGAGCCATGGCTTGATCTCAGGTCGTTTCTGCTTCGGGGTCTCGCGCCCGGGTTAGAGATGCAGGTCCTCGAGGGCCTCTCCATGTCGTGCTCGGAGACAAATCTTTCGTGGTGGATGCTCGGAGGATCCTCACCAGCGCGTGTCTGTCGAGCACACGAGGTATCTTTCGGGAACTGTGCCGCCACGCTATGATGATAGGGTCATCATTACGTTGGGAGTAGTGCGTCGAGGAGAGAAACTCCGTGGTTGCCCGAGGTGACGTTTGGTATTCCACGTCACCACTATAAATAGGATCCTTGGGCCCCATAACTCGTTTATACTCTTTGCGCTCCTACTGCTGCTGTTCTTCCAGATTTTTCATAGCTGCGATCTCCGTTACAGATTCTTTTCCTCCGTAGCCGAATCCACTTCTTGATTCCAAGTAGGTGACTTATCTTCTTTATTTTCCTGTTGTAATGCATGATTTTCAGCGTTGTAGACGTTTTAGGGACTGTGCGCGTGGGACTAGCCCGGTAAACTCATGTTTAGCTCGACATATTCATGCTTAGGACCGGAAAACACATGCTCGTGGCCGGTAGATACATAGTTTAGGTAATAATCTGCAGCGCTGCCCGGGGTCTTCATGATCCAGGGCGCCTGATTCATGATCGTGCCCAGTATGTTCATGGTTCTGGCCGTAGGTTGCATGATGTTGCTCGCCATGTTCATACCTTGGGTCGGCATGTTGGAGAGTGGCCGCGTTGTCGGTTCACGCAGGCGGTTTGGAGAAGGGCCCATCGAGTTATCTGGACGTCGGGGAGGCGACTGATTTCTTGTTGCTAACTAACTTTTGTGGTCGTGCATGGAACGACGTGGTTTGTCGTACACTACATCTGGTCCGCTACGTCGAGCGTATGGTTTCGTGCCCAATTGACTGGTTTCCCGTGCTCTGCAGGTAACCATGGCGGACGAGCCGTGCTCCTCTGGACGCCTCGAACAGGAGGAACAAAGTGCCGATGAGGCGGTGAGTTTGATCGATACTGTCGACGACCCTCTGTTGGATTGGGTGGGCGCCGAGCCCCGAGGAATCGCGTCGATATATAGCCGGCGTGACCGAAAACCATATGGTGTCCTTGAGGCGGGCCACGGTCAGCCTGATTTTCAGAAGAATTTTGTTGTTACGCGACCGACTTCCAATGCCCGGATCTGCTCGGTGTACCCCGAGTATAGTTTCCCAATGTACGAGATCGCGTTCAAAGATCTTGGGCTGCAGCTGCCCTTCAGTGACTTTCAGACCGGGGTCTTCGCCCATCTGGGGCAGGCCCCGTCGCAGCTACATCCAAACTCACTCGCCTTTATCCGAGCGTTTGAGCTGACATGTCGCTTTCTGAGGATTGGGGCGACGATACCTCTCTTCTTCAGAATTTTTCATCTGCAGCGCCAGTCCCGAGGAGGGAAGCACAGCTGGGTCTCCTTAAAACAGTCGAGGAGACTATTCAATATGTACATGGACTCCGTAAGGGGTTTTAAAGACAAGTGGTATGTCGTGAGGCCAGTTACCACGTCTGCTTTAGAATCCCTGTACGAGGAGGAGGCGCCCATAAGAGACGATGACGGGGAGGCGGTTTTAGACAACGATGGGTATCCCGTGATGGCCCGCACAACCAAGTTCCATGTGCATTGGATGTTCAGGCATTACGAGCACGGGACTGGATACTATCATACCGCTGCGGGCGACATGTGTTCGGAGGACGAGAATGCGTACGCCACTCTTTGTCGGTTCGTCGACAGCTTCCATCCCGCCCGGTGGGCCACGAGGGAAGGGGAAGATGTCTTGGATGAAGAGGGTTATCCGACATTTGAGTCCCGGCCGATTGATACTAAGGCACTCGTGGAGTGTCAGTCGTTCAGACAGGCTGCTCGTCTGCTAGGTCGTTTATTGCTTGAATTTCTTTGCTCGTCATTTATTTATGAACTTGCCCGACACTAACCCGTCTTTTATTTTGTGCAGGTTCGATGGCCGGGCGACGGGAAAGACCCTTGAAGCTGTCTTGCGACCAGGAGCGGGGTAGGAGGGTCGTGAAGGCTCCCCAGGCAACGAGGATGGGCACGCCACATAGTCCGGGCGCTCCTCAGGTGGTGAGGGTGGATTCGTCGCCCAACTCGGGGGCCGCGTCGGACGAGATCCCAGAGGTTCAAGAGGTCGAGCCACATGCCGACCTGATACAAAGAAAGAGGACCCGGGTGGAAAGCGGTCCGGCGGTCAGCGAGGACACCAGCGCCGTCAGGTCTTTCGGGTTCCCCCCTTGCTTCAAAGAGGAGGGTTTCTTCGAGATATTCCCTCTGTCCGTGGTTGCCGACGAGGCTGAGACTATCAAGAGGATGAGTAAGGAGGATCGGAAGAGGCATCTGGCCGCCAGCATGGCCGGGCTGGTGAAAATGGCCGAAATGGCCCTGGTGTTGTCCGAGGAAGGGGGGGATCCTGTCCGTATTGAAGAACTTGAGCAGGAGAAAGCGGCTCTCACCTCGAGCTCGCGGAAGTTAAGGACTGCCCTGGAACGCTCCGAGGAGATGTTCCGCGAGCAGGCATCGCTGCTGGCTGCTGAGAGAGAGATGTTGGTCCTAGAGAAAGAAAATTCGGGGAAGCTAGCCGAGGAGGGAGAGCTTCTCCGTGCAGACAGGGATCGTCTGGAGACCGACATCGGGCGCTTGACCCAACAGATCGAGGACATGAAAGTCGCCATGCTTCCTGCCGAGGACGAGCCGGAGGACATAGCGGCTTTGAAGAGTCGATCGGAGCTGGTCGCTCATATCCGGCTACTCGAGGCAGATTGCGTCGGTGCTCTGGAGGAGGGGTTCGACTCCGCAGTCGGCCAACTTTCCTTGTTAAACCCTGGTTTGGTCATTGAGGGGACGGGCTACACACATCAGATAGTGGATGGCGCGATCGTGCCCCCGCCTGACTCTCCAGTTGTCGACGCTGATGGTTCCGGGGAAGCCTGATCGTAGGATAGCGGGCCTGCGTGCCTTTGATATTTGTATTTTTTGGGCCTGCATGCCCGTTGGTTGTACTTTATGAACATCGTCGGCCTTCTTGGTCGGTTTATACTTGTTTTCCTTGTTGCCTTCGGGCGTTTTTTTGAATGAATGTTGTTTTACATTTAATCGTTTGCCCGTGCTTGAAATCTTATATATTTGCATAAAATTTAGCCTAAGTTATGGGCCCGAGGAGTGCCCGTAAGTGGCTGTGATTTAGCGAG